ACTTTTAATGCAGTTCAGAAACAGTTCTGTTTGAAGTCAGAACCATGCACCTTCCTCTTCCCTTTCTGTACAGTCTCATGAGTGACAGGTCACTTTAAATATTTGCTCAATCGCCGCTTGGAATTCTTCCTCCTGGCCTCTGCTGTTAGAACTGTGTGTTCATTGTGGCACAAATTTTAGACATTTAGTTCAATGCACAATGAAACAGAAATGTGAATAAAAGCCTGCATCCTTTTTAATTCAGGTTGTATTTTTGTATGGTAATCCTGACATTTAAAAAAATAACTTTTTTTTCATAAGTAACGAAACTTTGCATGGGATAAATTATGCGACAACAAGGAAGTCCTCTTGTGGCACCAATCTTTAAAAAATTTTATAAAAGCTTAATACTCCCTGGTCAACGTTTATCTACTTAGCAGAGTGGAGTTACATATAATTATAATTCCCCATGGGGTATTTGAAAAATAAATGAATTAAATAAAGTCATACACTTGTGAGCTGTTGAAGCGTTATACCTATGGTATAGCGATGTCTGTGATACTCCTCTGGCTCCCCCTGCTGGCAGGATTTCATCACTTCCAAAGGGCTCACTTCCCGATCCACAACCAGCCTCCACCCCATGGCTTCTGTTCGGGGGTCCCGCTGAATCACCAGTGCGTTGTCTGGGGATGCCAGCTCCGGCCTTACATCCTCCGAACTCCCCTCTCTATGCTGCGGCAGCACAGCCCACAGAACCAGCTGTGCGCAGGCGCTGATGGTCACCTTACGACGGATCTTGTACATCTTCAGGTGTCTCTGGACGGACTCGCTCAGTGTGCTGTCACACTCCAGTAACACACTGGTTTCCGTGCCTTGAGTTTCCTTCAAACTGTGACGAACATATATGTGTAACAAAACGAGCACTTCTACCAAAATCAATTTATCTACAAAACTGCTTATGACCGTTTGCCAAAAAACAAAACTAACCAACGACTTCAACATCAACGAGTTTATTTATACTGAACACATCCTAAAAATTAATTAAAATGTTCATTTCCCTTAAATAATTTCAAAAGCACATAATACCAAGATAATGAACTTTTTCCTCACGGAACTAAACTAACACTAAACAGAACACCAGATGCATACGCCGGTACACATTCCTATCCATATATGCACAAATATATATAAATGGTTTGCACAGTTTCATATGCACCCACCTGTATAACATTATATCAAAAAGAGTCCGTCCCTGGACATTGAGCATATGCGCATACAGGGCTCCTTGTCCGGCTTGTGTCAGCAGATGGATGTCATTCGTCATGAGACCTTGCAGGAAGGCTGCAGTGTCCTGTCCTTGCACCTTTAGCAGGGCCCTGTGCTGCAGCTCGTAACACACCAGCTTACCACGGCTCACCTCACCGTGCACTCGCCTGCAATCGCTCGGACCCGGTCTCCCCCACCGGCACAGTCCGAAACAGCCGACTGCAGCGCGTGCCGAGCCGAGGTTCGGTTTCAAAACGTGCCTGAAAACCGGCAATCCCACCATGTTATAAAGCATAGCGGGAATGCAAACGCCTCTTTTAAAGGCTAGTATTATGCAGGGGGAAATTCTGACATGATCAGTGCCAGATCTCTTAAAGGTTTAGCAGAAAACAACAGCTATATCACACACCACCATCACCGAAATGCTCGGCAGTAAACTTCTACTTCTTCTTTGGAAATTCTGTGATATGTAAACCGGTGCGTGCTGCCCTCTATTGTCCTGGAGGAAGAATTACGGACGGTCCTACCTTAAATCCTGAGATGTGAAATCAGTCATGTCCATTTACCCAAAACACTCCCTTAATGTTTATAAAACAATATAAGGCTAAAATGACCAGCGCAACCTAATGTGAAACATGCAACCTTTTAATAGCCAGTGTTTTATTTTCATTTGTGAAGTATAATAGCAGATGGTTGTACACGGGGCAGCAAACCCCCGCTCCACGTATTTGTTCCCTCTGAGCTCCCTGTCCACACAGTCCACAGGCACCGGGAGCTGGGAGGGAGCAAAAACGTGGACTGTCTGTGGGTCTCCGGGACCGGATTAAGAAACACTGGTTTATAGTCCTGGATGGAGGCAGGCTTAAGGCATAAATAAAACCATATTCCCACAAACAGTAAACACATATAAGCCATCTAGTATCAAATGCGAAACATCCATAGTAAAGTATGCATCCCTTGGCAAATAATTCACTGCATATAATGTTTCATGCTGTAGTTGTATAAAGCCTTTTTGTTACATACCTTATCTGTTACTAGCTGTGGATCAGCACGATATTAGTCTTCTGCATAAAACCAATCTGTGTTCATTTTGATTAGAGCAATTCATTTGCACAAAGTCATATCAGTTATGCAAAGACATGTTAAGTGCAAAGCCAACAGCAAGGTTGCTTCAAGTTCATGGCTAGAAAAACACTACTCTTCAAATAACTTTTTGTTTGCCTGCAGCTCTTCCAGTAATATCCAGTTGTCCTGCATTTAATTAAATTAAATCTGCTTCAATATGACAATTTTAAGTACCGGACCCTGCTTACAGTGTACAACTGAACAGAACATAATTAACTCTGTCTATTACAGTCACAGGGACAGACTAACAAAATCAGTTTAACATCCACAAGAATATGCACGAGTAGCACACATATATTCTTATGTATTTGCCATTAGTTTTCCTTCACTCAAGGTTTTGTTTGTACTGAATTATAATTCAGACCAGTAGCCTTCAGCCCTGACATGCAGTTGGCCAGACCCAGTGGAAAATTTTCTAGGAAGAATTCTTAATTTAATTTGTGAAGTTGCCCTTCACTGTTTGCAGGCTGTGCAGGCGTATAGACTTTGAACATCGACTCTAAAATATTGAAGTTTCAAAAGATGATCTTTCCTGTGGCACAGTACTAAAGCAGCCTTTTTTATTGTGGTATTGTCCTAAAATTTATGGTCATAAGGAAGACCGATATCCTGTCAATATATATAGTAAATATGCCAATAGACAGTTGGGCGGCACAGTGGCTCAGTAACTTCATAACTATCGTCAGTAAAGCTGGTACAGTCGCATTAGTTTAAATTATCGAAGCATGTTACATTGCATTATAAACCTCTGGAAATGAAACGATATATATTAAATATATATATATTCTTCGCCTGGCTGGCAAACCTGTCTCGCTTGATGTATCCAATCTTTAAGGCTATAAAAGTTCATCTTGTACACCTTAAGGATATTTCGCAAAGATACACGGATACATGGTACACCAGAAACATTAAACCGCGAAGAGTCAGAGGTCCCCCCCCCCCAAAAAAAAAAAAAAAAATCTTGTACTGTGACCCATAATAAGAAGCTTATGTCACTGCTTAGTGAGTACAAGCGCGTGTCCTGTGATAGACTGACATTCCAGCCAAAGATGCTTTGTGCCTCATTCCTGGGATAAACTCCTGGATCATTTACCGGAAAATCGACGATGGGAGATGGAAGGATTAAGATATTCATGAATCAGAAAGAAAGCCAATAAAAAACTTTATCTTCTGCAGAAACGTTCTTGATATGCTTGACTATAGTGCTCATTGCAAAATGAAAGGTAAATGTGTAGCATCTGGAATGAATGACCGCTGAGAATTCAGTTTCAGCTTTCAAAGTTTATTTGTACAGTTGCTTCAACCAGAACATAGCACGAACATACCTATTCATAAAGTAGAAAGATATGCATATTAACCATAATTTTTAAGAAATATATATAAAAAAACAACAGGGGTCCAACAGCTACCACTGCATGGACACATAATAAAACAAAGTACTATATTTACAAATTATTGCAATGTTTTCACTTGGATGCCGACAATGATGACGATGGAGTAATTGCAGGAAAAAAATAAATGAAGATGAAATGCCTAATTTATATTTAGGATCAATGTGAGTGGATTTTTAACTTCTTTTCAAAAGTCCAAGTTATTTTAATAATTCAAGTACTTCCAGTAACAAATTAAATTTAAATATAGTCACTAGTTATTTGGTCACTAGACAAAAAAATTCCATACAATGACTACATTATTACTGTTTTAATCAAAGTTTGCAATTTTAAAATACAGATCAGACAAAGAAAGTGCTATATTTACAAACAGAAAACAAGGTGACCACACACGTTTTATTCAGACATCAGAAGACGAAATTATCTTATATTAGCAATTTATTATTTACCATCCTACTTAAATGTGGGAATACATTTCATATTGAAAGAAAAAAAAACTCGGTAAATCAACACAAAAGCTAATTGTTCTCTTCAGGACATTGAATATGTTAATGATACATGCTGCTGGGTGATTAGCGATTCACTATCAATGCATAGATAAACTCATCATGAACTTTCAATGTCCTTGTAAATATGTTTCAGTTGAATATCTACAATTGTAATACTGGGTAAGGCACACTGCTGGAGCTACACAATCTGCTTCCGACTGTTTAGATGTGATGTCTCTGTGAAGTTTTGTTGTTCCTGTAGTCTAGATTTGAAAGAGCCAAAAGTAGTAAAAAATAGTTGCTGTAGTACAAATCGATTTTCCATAGCAGAAAGCTAGAGAACCCAAATGTACAAATATACTGTCCCTCTCAGAGAAACTGTATTCTTTTCGCAGTACTGTGACACGTACACATGATGTGACACGTACACAGAGATAAGGAATCCTATCATTACTAAGTGGAAGGCTCCGTGATATTGTCTTTTACTTTCTGACAACTCATGATATGCTTTGTAGGCATAATGTTATTGGAACACAAATTAGCCGGTGCTGTGAAGTAAAACCTGCCTCAGTACTCTGCTAAATGAATCAATGTAGGCTTAAATGTTGCTCTTCAATCGGTATCTTATACTATAAATCAGGGTTATTCAACTCACGGTCCTCGAGGTCCGAGCACTGCTGGTTTTCCAGCCTTCCTTTACCTGTCAGTCAGGTGTGAAGCCACTGACCAATCAGAATCAGTAATTATTAAACAACTACCTGGGAGAACTGAAAACACGACCTGGGTTTGGAATCGAGGTCCAGAGTTGAAGAACCCTGCTATAAATGCTGCTGCAGCTGCACCATTGATGAAAAATGCTCAGAAAATACACATTTTCCACGAATGAGTATGGCACATACATGGAGTCTATGCTCACCACAGCCTGAAACTTTTCCTGCTGGTACCAGTTGAACCTTTGGTCTCTTACAATAACCACCCACTTTAGCAGCAGGGGTAAGTCTCTTTCAGCTACTCAAATACGTGTCATGTTGAATTGAGAATTCAGGTTGTACATTAAAGGACGTCATAAAAAGAATGTCTTTGGAAGCATATATGCTAAAAAAAATATATAAGAATATTTAACCCTATATGTTTATTAGAAGAATTATTGCTTTTATTTAATCACAGTATAATTATTATGAAAAAAAAAACTATGCATATCAAACAAGTCCATCAAAATACAACCAAGTCAAACACTTTCAGTTTAACATGTATTCACATACAGTAAGATAAAACAATTAAATAAATCCATATTACAGTTTCAAATGTTACAATGAAAATGTATCCTAAGAATGAAGCACTAGAGTGAGCTCATATACCAGCTGAGCCTCTTAATTTGAAAGCTACACATCCTCAGTCATTAATGGGGTAAATGTCAAAAACTCGCATTTCCCTCTGAGTTTGCTGAGAAATTACCACAAAGTTCCTTTTGTCTTTCCATGCATATTAACTCACAATGTCTATTTTTTTTCAAAGCAGGCCTTTTGAAGGAGCTGTATTAAGCTAACTTGTACCAAAAACATAACATTTTGGGAATCATGTTCATCTGTCTGGTGTCATTCCTCTCCTCCAGTCATTACCATGTGAAAGTAATAAAAATTACCTCTGGAAGGACATTTGTACTGAAAATGTCAAGCTGCTTTGCTATTAGCAAATTGGCAGGGGGTTATTTTTTTGTTCTGTGAATGTTGCAAATCTATCTACTGTACTTGGTTATTTTTGATTCCTGTCTTGAGTTTAGTTTCAGAGTGGTCACTGGATCATTTATTAAAAATCTTCTGCTTCTTACTGCTTAGTAGTGAGCACTCACAGCATAAATAGTGAAGAGCCAATCAAATATTCTCCCCTCTTTGGCTAAAATAGAGTGCATAGACTTTTCAAGTGCATGAACAATTCTATCAACAATTCATATTAACAACTGGCCTAATACATCTGTATAGGTATAGATTCCATAAATTAGCAACACAGATTACAATTCATTTAATATTTAATACTGTATGTCAGTCAAATAATTTACAGATTATATAGAAGGATTTTTGTAAATCAAAGGGCTGTATGATTGATGAATTATAATACTGGCACTTACACACAAGTTGGTCCACAACAAGGCTGAAGGAAGAAGGCAGTTTGAGCTCTTTTTCTGCACAGAGAAGAGAAAATATGACTAAGACACAATATATGCTGAAATTTACGATTGACCATTCAAGAAAACTGCTGAGTTTTCATTTTCGAGGCCTGAAAAATTTGCACTTAAACCAGGACAAAGTTTGAAAAATGAAACGAGAGGGAGCTGTAAAGTATCCATTGTTGTAAATAATTGACATCACCCAAAGAAAAGACACAGGAATCTTGACAAGGCCTTGAACAATTAAGCCCCTTGGATTTGTGGTTATTTTCTTTGTGGCCAGTACGTGTAACACCTGCTGCCCCAAGGTTTACGTACAATATATTTATGTCAGTGCCAAGTTTCCATGAAAATTTCATCCGAACATCTTCTGAGCCATCTCAACCCTCTGCTCGGGGCAAACATGAACTGCAACGGTGCTGAGTTTGCAGGCCTAATTCCTGATGGTACCTTGCAGAAAGCCTAGCATATCGTCGCCTTTCTTTCGTCCGCTTCTCAACTTTGAGCACAGGTTTCTCACCTCTGATAACAGAACAAAGCACTGCTTTGTCTTTGGTTAGTTTGGGGAGAATTTGGTTCAAAAGACATTCAGTTAAGGACTGCTTAGCTCAACTGAAATGGAAAGTGAAAGTATCTTTTAATCCTTTATGACAGGCATGCAAGTCCTATCAAAGAATGACTCATAAGAAACTTAAATAACACAGAGAACATAAGTGAATCATAATCAGTCTGAATGCTGAGCAGTTTTAAATCCATACAGATGTCTTTCCGTTTTTTACAACCGTCCCTGTTTTTTCTGTGCTGGATTTGGGCCTGGCTCCTTGTTTTTCCTGCGCCATGTTGATGCGGTTTTGCTCTGCCATGGTGCCCCCTGAGGTAGGGCTGCTGGTCCTGGAGGGCTGTGGCTGGCCCTTGCTGTTGTAGGTCTGGAATGCCATGTCCAGTTGTTCTTGCGCCACACGGAGGTGCCTATGGAGACTGGCCAACTCTGAGGGGATGTTTTCATCTGGGCTGGTGCACTGCTGCTGCTGTGCCGCATTGGCAAGATTCTGCTCATGACTGATGAGGCCGTTGGGGACCGTGTCAGACTTGTCTGTCTTCACCACTAGATTGTAACCTGGGGGGGAAGCCGGAATGTTCCGGGTGTAGGGGTAGTTGTAGGAGGTCCGGGTGCCCTTGTTCCTTCGTTTGCGGAGCATGTCCTGGAACGAGCCGATGCCCAGGTGGGCCATCTCGCAGACGTTGAGCACCAGACAGAGGCAGCTGACCACATACATGATGAGGAGGAAGATGGTCTTCTCTGTGGGCCGAGAGATGAAACAGTCCACATTGTGGGGACAGGGGACGCGGTTGCAGATGTATGAAGGGTTTACCCGGAAACCATACAGCAGGTACTGGCCAACAAGGAAGCCAACTTCGAAGACGGCACGGGCGAGGAGCTGAAGCACATAGGTCTTCATCAAGCCCTCTTGCCTGATCTTGCGTCGGCCGTCATGTCTCTGCTGGTCCCGGCTGGGAAACACGGCAAGGTCGGGTTTAGGCTCCTGTACCTCGAGGGCATCTTCATAGATCATGGGCTCCTCCTCGTCTTCATCCTCCTCGAGCCCCTCTTCCATGGAGCGATTGGCGTTCCACTTGACGGCGGGGGGCTTCTTGCGTGAGCGCCGCGGCCTCCGGCGTTCGTCCTCGGAGACGCGGGCGATCTTGTGGATGGCGTAGCCCAAGTACATGACAGACGGGGTGGAAATCATGATGATCTGGAAGACCCAGAAACGGACGTGCGAAAGCGGGGCGAATGCGTCGTAACAGACGTTGTCGCAGCCCGGTTGTTTTGTGTTGCACGTAAACTTGGACTGCTCATCCGAGTAGATGGACTCGCCCCCCACGGCCGTCAGCACGATGCGGAAGACGATGAGCACCGTGAGCCACACCTTCCCCACGAAAGTGGAGTGGTTGTGGATCTCTTCCAGGAGGCGTGTGAGAAAACTCCAGCTCATGTTGGACATAGGGACTGTTCAGATAAGACCTGAGGAAGAGAAGAATGTGGGACTCATTAACGACAGATAAGACGCTTACTGTAACTCAGCCAGCCATTCGAATTACACTTTCTTCATGATAGATGTAGATAAGCTCTGGCTTCGAAGAACTTGCTTTATATTTCAGAAAGGTATGAATACTAGGTGTTATGGTGCTTCAGTGGTTAGTGGTTTGTATGTTGTACTGCAAACAAAATTTACCATCCAGTACCAATAAAGTAACTTGAACTTGAACTTGTATCCTAGTCCTTGTGCTGTGCTTGTGAAGTTTGCATATCATGCCTGTGTTACTGTGGGTTCCCATTTGGGGAGTTGGGTTCCTTCCTACAGTCCAAAAAGATCTCTAAACTGCTGTCTCTAAATTGCTTTGCGTTGGACAGGTATCTTTTCCAGGGTGTAACTTGGCCTTGTGTTCTGTCCTGCCTGGGAAGTGCTCCAGAGACCAGGACAAGTGTTAAAAGATGGATGGATGGATGGATGGATGAGAAAAATATTTTTTGTCTTCTATATATCATCTATGTTTATTTTCAAAATGCAATAAATATGATTAAAATGTATATTCTAATAGTATTTTTAGTTCTAATACAAACAAAAAAGCTGTATTTGGAGCAAGTTTACAGAATTATCTTCCGCTGTAGATTTCTGAAGGGGATTCCGGCACCGGATAATAATAATCCAATTAAGCTCTCAGCATGCATTCCTTGCAGCGTTGAAATGCGAACAGACTCACTAATTAGAATCATTCTTACTCAAGCATGACCTCCCTGGCAATGACTTGTTCAGAAATTAAATCACAGTAACCCCTTCACACTCAGGCTCAGAAATTAAATCACAGTAACCCCTTCACACTCAGGCTCAGAAATTAAATCANTCAGAAATTAAATCACAGTAACCCCTTCACACTCAGGCTCAGAAATTAAATCACAGTAACCCCTTCACACTCAGGCTCAGAAATTAAATCATAGTAACCCCTTCACACTCGTGCTCAGAAATTAAATCACAGTAATCCCCTTCACACTCACGTATATGTCAGTTTTGCAGTTTCAGTGAGTAGGCTGTGAGTAGGCCATGAGTAGGCTGTGAGTAGGCCATGAGTAGGCCGTGAGCAGTTAAATGGAAATGTTATCTGAGTTTGCCGAAAGATCACAGAAACTCGCAGACAATGCACAAGCTGCAAACAATACTGAAAATGATTTGGATTGCATAAGATCATATGATATATAAATAGTAGTTTTATAAAATGTTTATGCAAGTATTTACTGTATCGTTAATATCAAAAGTCTTGCCTTGGGGAACTGGCCACACTCAGGTGTTAGCTACCTTTGTGGAATCTCGTGTTTCTTAACCTGTAAACTCCTCAGTACCATTAATTTAGCATTTTTAATAACGTAGGACACTAAATAACTGAAATGGTTTTACAGGGAAGAGCGGCAGGCAATGCTAGGCCAATTCCACTCATCCTGAGTGTTTAAATTTCTGATCTGCCCTCTTCAGGAGGAAGTTTCATATCCAGCTGTATAAATGACTGAAACATCTCCTACGAAAGCTAAACAAACATGCGGAAGCTTCACTGAAATACGTACCATATTCCATGGTACAAGTATAGGCAATATTAATAAGCAGGTTTCCATTACTGTTTAACACAGTACAACCTCGCAGTGGAAATGCAAGATGGACGGAAGACACAGTAGAGCCACCTGTTCTTACCTTGTTCTACCCACCCGAACTTCCCTGTTTGTCCGATTACATTTTTATCTATAATATACGAGCACTTAAATTCATTAAGGTCTATAATTAGAAGCAAGACAGAAACGGTGCCGGTGACCTTGTCATGGGTTAAAAACCAGGCTTATTTTAAGCCGTTGACTTTTCTCGCCTGATCAACGAAGCTGGTCCCCATTTCTCATCAAAACATTTCATGCCGCTGTTTATTTTGCGGAGTCTTCCCAGGCCAGGCCCTTTGCCGGTGAGCTGTAACAAAAACAATGATCTTACTAAATGCTCGACCGAAACCTTCCCAGAAGGCTGCTTTAAGGGTCTGCTCCCTCCGTTGGTTTCAGGAACAGTGGGGAGGGATAAGGCGTGATATTGAGCAGGGTCACGCTTACAGAAATACAAGTTACAGTCACACTATAAGGACAAAAGTATTGGCACGCGCCTCTTATTCACAGAATTCAAGTGTTTCATTCAGACCCATTGCCACAAGTGTGTAAAATCAAGCACCCAGCCACGTAGTCAGGTTTAGAAACATTTCTGAAAGAATGGGTTAGTTCTGAAGAGCTCAGTGAATTCAAGTGTGACAAAGTCATACGATGCCACCTTTTCAACAAGACGGTTCGTGAAACTTCTTCCCTTGATAGATATTCCACGGTCAACGGTAAGTGGTATTATTGCAAATTGGAAGCATTTAGGAACAACAGAAACTCCACGTAAAGTAACAGAGCGGGGTCGCCGAGTGCTGAGGCACAGAGTGCGTCAATGTCGCCAACGCTCTGTTGACTCAATAACTGCAGAGTTCCAAACTTCCCCTGGCATTAACTCCAGCACAAAACCTGTGCGCTGGGAGCTTCATGGAATGGGCTTCCATGGCCGAGCAGCTGCACGCAAGCCTCACATCACCAAGCGCAATGCCAAGTGTCGGATGCATCGGTCTAAAACCGCCGTAAAGCAAGATCTGTAAAGACATGGTTGGGTGAGTTTGGTGTGGAGGAACTTGCCTGGCCTGCAGCGCCCTGACCTCAACCCCATTGAGCACCTTAGGGATAAGCTTCAATGGAGATTGCGAGTCAGGCCTTCATGTCCAGCATCAGTGCCTGACCTCACAAATGCTCTTCTGGATGAATGGACAAAAAATCCCACAGTCACACTCCAATAGCCTTCCCAGAAGAGCGGCAGCTGTTATAGCTGCAAAGGGGAGACCAACACCATATTGATGCCTATGGATTTAGAATGGGATGTCATAGGCTTCTGTAGCTGCAATGGCCAGGTGTCCCAATGATTTTGTCCATATAGTGAATATTACATTGTATTTACATAGCTGACATTTTTATGCAAAACAACATACAGTTGACAAAGCAGGGTGAGACGGCCCCTGAAGCAATTGGGGTTAAGGACCCTGCTCAGGGGCCCAACAGTCACATCACTCTGCCACAATGTAGCCATGTTGCCGTGTTGCACCTCTGCTTTTTCGTATTTCTGTTCTTTACTGCGTCTCATTTATTACGTAATTATTATATTGTTACTTTCTATGTTTTTATTACTATTACAATTTTTATTATAGTGTTATTGTAGCGGAGTTAATCACCTTATATTTCACTGCAAGTTAGCCTGATTGTGTAGCCTGCATGTGGCAAATAAAATCCCGGGGATCCAACCCTGGGATGTGAACCTACGACCTTCCGATAACTGGCAAACTGGTCTAACCTGCTGAGCCATACACACCACAGTGCAGGAACGAAAGCAAGTAAACAACATGGCCAATGTCTGTCATACAGTGTCTCCCATGCATGTTACGGGGCCTCAGGGTGATGTCATTCCTCCAGCCCCACATCTCCCATGTTTCTCCGCAGCACAAATGTTTGTAAAACCTTCTCAGGCTTTAGTTGCACTTGGGCAACATTTGCATACACTGTGCGGAGCCCTGGTGTGGCTTCCTAACGCTTCTTCGTTTAAAGAAACAAGGGCTTTGGGTATAAACAAAGCAGTCTTTTGGCCTTTACAAATCCAGAAAAGTTGGTTAAAAGGATGGAGGGATGGTCACCGAACAAGCGTTTCCTTTTCTGTCTCGTACGGGCCATTAACGATAAATACCGTCCTTATTTTTCTGGCTCTTATTTATGCAAAACCTTCCCCCCAGAAATTAATGAGAAGGACAGAGCCGTGATCATCATTTTCTAATCAGAAGGAGACAATGGGAACCAAACTGATCATCCTCTCTTTTTTTGGTTTGTCACCATTTTCATATTTGTTTTTTTCCCCCCAATTTTAAAAATTTCTCCTCCCTTGGGAAGTCTGACTAACCTAAAAGATACTTATTCCTTGCATTGCGTTTGTCAGGACACTCAGGGAACCGCATGAGAGAGGGCGATAAGTGCATACGCTGGAGCGTGTCAAAGGGATTCCCCGCAGCCGCGAGAACGGGTGTCAGTTCCATCAGAAGCAGACGCCGCGGAACCAGATCTCTTGGCAGTGAGCCAGTAACCAGCCTTGTTCTTTTCATCCGAGAGGATCTTCCAGTTCCATCAGTGTTCTGTGAGCTTCCTGCTCGAAAAGTGGCAGAACTTTGTCACAGTACTAAAAAGTCCAGGTGCTCATAGAGCCTAGAATAATATCCAAGAGGAATGTCAAATAGCCTAAATGAAAGCCAGTCGGATCAGAGACACAGAGGCAGCATCATAGTCAACAAGAGGTTCAAAGATTATTCGCTTATTTCATTCGTTAATTAGAAATGTCTCAGAATGTACAGCATTCAATTAAATTTGCTACTGTAGTTAGAGAACTGAAATATTATGATGGAACGGAGAACACTGCTCCAAAATTGCATTTTTGGACCAATTAGTGTCACATAAAAATCAGAATAGCATCACACCGAATTGAAAAGTGCCTTGCAACAAAGGACTGTCTCACAACAAGGGCTGAAACGGCCAAATGACTCAGTGATGTCACAATGAAGCTTATAGGCTGTCACATCCCACGCACTTTACACTTATGCACTTTACAACTATTGTGGTTTATTTTTCAGCACAGCAAGTGCTGTTTATGTTAGTGTTGTGAAAAGAAGCGTCTGTTTTGTGACTCTAATGATGGGTTTTTAAATTCACACATTGCAACATGAATGGATGTGTTTGCAGTCATAGTTTCTCTCACGTAGTCACCATGGTTACAGACATTGCCATGCTATAAGTCATACCACGGATCCCTTGAGTTCCCTGTCGTAAATGTTACACAGCAATCCTCACTGCTTATACGATGTTGTGTGTGATGAAGGAAGCTGCCTCTCTTTGCATACTCTGTGATACTCTATCCCCCCTGACTTTAAAAAGGAAAGTAAGTTATCTGTGCAAAGTAAACAGCAAACATTTCATTCTGTGTTTCATCGGGTCTAGTATCTGATCTTCCCTACAAATATGCATGCAAAATATGCAACTAATCTGTCACATACACCTCACCTTTCAGGTTAGGCAGCATCAAAGGAAAACTACTTTTCAACAAATCACCCTGACATAGAACTTTAATAACGGACTGCAAACTGTCCCCTTTTAAAGTAGTTAAACATTCTTCCATCCATCCATCTTCCAGCTGCGTATCTTAGTCAAGGTCAGGGGGCTAAATATGCAGCAGTCAAAATATTAGTTTTGAAACTCTGTGGTCTTTACAACATGACAAGGAACCCAAACTCTTCCGGACACTTGAAAACCTGCCAAGTAATATGTATTTAAATAAACGAAAGTTTTTCCTTTAATTAAAAAATATATATTAACACGTCCAGTGGCTGACCATTTCATTTAGACGCTATTCCTCGAAATTATTTCAAAAGTGAGATTGAGTGAATGGAATGAGCAGTTTAGCATTAAATTAAGTTATTTCACTATTACATATTTGATGACTGTACATATGAAACAGCTGATATTGAAGTCTGATTAAAGAATGACTCTTTTTGTCTTCTTTCTTTGCTGGACGTCCCTGGTAAGGTTGAAGATTTGCTGTAAACTACAGACCATTTAGTGAGCATTTCCCATTAAATGTGGCATTTATAAAAAATATATGTATTTCAAATAGCGCCAAACATGTTACGTATTTTATCGAAATGATAGCAGATACGATTAGTAAGTTTGTCTAAAATACATTTCATCTAAAAAAACAACTTGCAAATGAACTCCGAAGTATACTTTGAGACAGCCTAAGAATCAACAGCATTTACTGAATATTCCCCGAAAAAAAAATCAGATTAAAGATTTTTGTAGTTTTAATTTTAGTAAAACAGCATAACTAAGCAAAGATTCGCCTCAAGTTCAAATCATTTTTTTTCTAACAAGTCAAAAATATACAGAAAAGACTCCAGAAGTTTATAAAATGAATGACCTATTGTAGAAATTCATGATTTTTTTAGAGCCAAAACAAGCGGATGTTCCAGACCTCTAATCTCAGCAACAAAGTAAGGAAATTCAATATGGAGGTCTTCAGAAGTGCTAGAATGTCTTCAATTAGATGCTTGCTGAACGGGGTATAGACTTCCGTCCATCCGAAGGACCGGCTGCAGGTTTTCGGGAAAAGTCAAGAGGGAAGAAGCGCTCGAGACTCACGGTGTAGGGTCGCAGTCGCTCTCCTCAGCCTCAGCCCCCTCCACATCCTCGCCGCCGTGTCCTTAAATCTCCCCGCTTTCGGAGTAGCAGCCCCCAGCCAGCTGCATCGCGTCAGAGGCCAGTCAAGTGAGCTGGAGCGCCTCCACCAGCCAGCGAGTGGGGCTGCGGCTGTCCTCCGTCCTCCCTCTCGCCGAGAAGTCCTCTCCCTTCAGCACACGCCTGGCATTCTGCATCAGGTCTGGTTTCTATTATAGTGGTTTTTCTGCCCAGGAAGGGAGCAGAAGAAACATGGTGGGGGGAGGGAGGATCCTCCAGGCGACTGACCACAACTGGGAGGTCAGATGTGAAGATGGTTGGACGCAGAATTCAGACGCGTTCCAGACCGGCGATCCTGTTTGGCGACAGCGGTCCCGTTTAAAAACTGTGGTCTGTAACCATGAGCTTCCTTCGGTCGACGGCCTGCTGTAAAGTTACAGAACGGCTGCTCAGGATTTTCAGGGGCTCCTGGTAATGTATGCGTGCACACACACGCACACCCACAGGGATCGTTCACCTTGAACCAGACCCTGAGCAGTAGACCAGGGATAAAAACCAAAAATCCCTCTTGTGTAGAGTGACTGCAGGTTTCAGGTGAATAATAAAATACTGTCCAGCGCTCAGAGCCCGTGCTTTTCTTTGAGGGGGTGGGGAGGAAGACGTGGAGGAAGGGCAGGAGAGAACCGTGGCTGGGGAGAGCCGTTCTGCTAGTGTGAACTCAACAGGTACGCTCCGTCATATTGCGTGTCAAAATATTTACGTGTTCCGTCCCAAAGAGTCTGGTTCCCTTGCCAGGCTGTGCACTGGAGCAGAACTGTAGCTGCCGTGTTTACATTGACGGTTTCTCATCAGGCAGACGGATACGGCTAAGGCTGACCAACATGAACACCCCCCCCCCCCACCACCACTGCTCTTAACTCACATGCAAACTCCCCCACCTAATCGTATATGCATTCTCATGTAATACACTCGTCAATACCACTCCTCTTGTAGTGCTGGGGTGGGGTGAGACGGCCAAGAAATGCTACATAGTCCACTGAGGAACATTTGTTTCAGCTAGACATTTTGAGGTTTGCAACGTGTCTAAACTGCTACGTGATCAGAAAGTACGGTATGCCAATCAGATAAGGTGTATCAGAACTTCAGTATGAAAAAACAGGTTGTTTTGCTAAAAAATCCCTCTTTACACCTTCTGGGGCTGAAGTGACCTGATCCATTTCATATAATTTTTAGAATACTTAAAGTTACGTAACATTTTTAACAAACAGACAATGCAAGAGAATGAAAATGATCATTCATGTATATTAATGAGCATAAAGAATGTCAAACAATTTTGGCAGTTTGTGCTATTATGCCATTTGTGATTTTATCTTGTGTTAAGCCCTTTTTATGGGCTGAAACCCCTTTCAGCATAAGTTTCACTGATTCCAGGGTTTATTTGTTGACTCATTTCATTCTTAAACACCCTGGAGTGTGAAATGTGAATGTAAATTTAGGAAAGACAGCTCTCTTGAAGCACAGGGATTCTGGCATTTTCTCTGTGATGTCGTTATACAATCAATCAGAGGACTGGAGCATAAGAAGGAAGAGCGTGGTGGAGATATGTGACCGCCATGTGAGATGACCTGTCTGATGCTTTGGGTGGTCACAGCTAGATGTTCCCCTACAACACTGCCAGACAGGCCCCAACACGGGACACACGGCACCCTACTGACCCTGTGCCATTTGCTAGCATGAAGCTAAATGATAGCATAATTATTTTTCGGATGCCCTTGTTCGCATTCCGAAACACGTCTGGTCCAACACAGAGATGCAGTACTGAATTCTCAGCCCTGCTGGTGCCAACTCCATGTTCATCTCTGAAGACAAGTCAACTGAAGCGGATGGAGCCCGCAGGGTTATATAACAGGCCGAGTGTGGCCTGTCGGTCCAGCGTGCCACGCCAGGCAAGCAACCAGCATCTAACAGCCAAACGCCGCCTCAAAAATCCTGGCGCGCCAGGAAGACCGAAAGGGCAGCCCAAGAGCTGCAAGGGTCCTCACGTCAGCGTTTGCCATGCCGGTGTTTTTATGTAGGAGCCCAAGCCACAAGCTGATGTCAACTTCACCCTGGAAACCGGCTCATCAGTCATGACACAAGTCTGGGTTCATTCTGGAAACTGACAACAGAGACATAAGGGAGGCTTCAAGACGTTCACCCAGTCCGGCGTATTGCCCCGAGATTATATGGCAGTTCTGCTAATTGTCTGCATTTTTATCAACTTCATTACGTAGATTTATGAAATTCAAAACTGCTACGTGACATATGTTAAAGTGTACAAAATCCCAAACACACATGTGACTTGGTACGGACTTTCCCTGTTTTTGGAAAATTTCAATTCTGGGAAAGCTGCCCTATGTTATTGGCTAACTCTGGCCATCAGCTGTCAAAATTTATCTGCATTGAAAAGCGTGGGCTTTGCTTCCCTACGTACTAAATCTCAGCACAGGTTTATGAGCAAGAGAGCTTTCAGCTGTAAGAAAGTAGCTTTATATATTAGAATTTATACCATCAAAAATGTTAAAACAAAGAACAGCTATGAGAAAAGTGAGGATGTCTCATATAAAAATAGAAACTAATTATACCATTTTAGATGGCCACGACTGTACAGTGACCCCTCACTGTTTGGTAACTATTTTTGGAAAAAAAGTTTTTAGAATACCTGCATACCTTAACTGTATAAAGAAAAATAATTTTATTTCACAAGACCATATAAGATGTTAACAATGTCACTGTTAATAAGCAACCACAATCTCTTTACAATAAATATATTAAACAGTAAACATTCCAACAAACACACATACTACTTAGGGCGGGAAAGGATAGAAAATCAGTATTACAAACTCCATAACACTAGGGGGCGCACAATATTTTTGATGCGGTAGACCCACATCAAGCACAAAAAAACTTATTGTGGCAAGTAGTTTAGTTATTTTAATAAATGACATGACAGCTATTACAATGAGGGTTACTCTCTTTATTAACAACCACTACAGGTTTAATACAGTAGCAGCACAGATATGGAAGCCATTGATTTCCACGACACTTTCCACGACACTTTCCACGACGCATTCCACAGCAAACATTACACAGTTGCGACATTTACTAATATAAATACACATATTTCGCACTATTTAAAAATATGCATGGAGTGATGCAAAGTATGGTGGTAATTGCTGACTAATGCCTCTACATCGGATCATGTCAACTAATGGAGGACAGCGGGTGGGATCAGAACAAACGAGAAAGATCGCCTCGGGGAAACGGTGATCACTGTTCATGCTAAAACGACATCGATTCTCTCGATTAGGTTTGAAGTTAATGGCGGAGAAGCAGACAAGTCACGCCATCTGCTGTTGTATATGTATAATGACATTTAAATTCCAGTCCTCCAATAAAAGGCGACCCCAGTTTTTAGATGTCATTTTTTGAGGGGAAAAAAATACTTATGCTCTTATGCTCAAGCCAGTGTGGTATTTACAAAACAGAAGTAGGGTAAAAGCAAGTTTACAGGGTTTAGATCTCTACAATAATATTGGGGCATTTGCATATATTTCAATACATAGTGCAACATGTGGAGAACTGTGATTCGTTTAAAAACACAAATATCCAAATCATCCAATAGGGTGACATGCTTGAGAGTGACAGTTCAGGAAATGTAGATTCTTGAACCCAATGCAATTAACATTGCAAAATAAGCTAGATAACATATGAACAAGAATAGATCATTCTGCAATCCACTTTTGACCCTTAAGTCATGAAATATATAAATAATAGACATTTGCATAGGATTACATGGATTACAATATAACTCATAGCAACAAATTGTAAATAACATAGTTTTTAATGTTTCAAGAAGCATATTTGCAACTATTCATATACAAGTAATCAAAACATGCCAGAGATCAATAAAAAGTCCTTTCAGCATTTCAGTCTTGCATCAGCTGTTCGCTGTTATCAGCTGTTATCCCATTTCCACGCGTTCAATGTCCTAATTTAGGATCAACAGTCTCGTCACAATAGACTTTCACAATTCTCTGCATCAGACTTCCAGCCGAAGGTCGAGTATCAGCGACTATTTCTGCAAGAATTCTCGCCTTGCAGCCACTAGAAACACTCAAGCTAATAGCTCCTACCTGTTGAGACTTATGATAAATGACTTTCGAAACATGTCATCTGACACACAGCTAAGGAGCTTCGCAAGTCAGCCATGCCTTTCTCGCTCGTGCCATGCCCACAGAAGGTAAAAAAAAAAGGAATTTATAAGAAACAGATGCCGGTCTTTCCAGGTAGTGATTCATCAGTGCTATACAGTTGTTGGGTGAAAGCTCTGAGATGCTCTCAAGCCAGATTTCAGACGGACCCCCCCGC